ACGATCTGACAGTTTTAATAGTTACTCTCATTCATTTCCAAGGGGGGAAATTAATTTCCTAGGGGGGCAAAACACGATTTTGGAATTCCTAAGGGGAGGGGGGGATACCCAATTTCGGAATTTCCCAAGGAGAGGGGGGGTCGAAAATCGATGCCGCCCGTCGTATGGTACGGATATTTTCTGGAACTACCCAATTAAAAAATTGAAACAAAACCCAAAACAAAAGTGAAAAGCCGAAGGGATTCAAACCGGTATCTTTGCAAGAATGAAATCCTCCTCTTATAAAGTCTACTTTGCTCGATTCAATGACTCCTCTTTGAGCTCATTTAATTAAAAAAAAGAGCAAAAAATCTTGGAAGTCTAGAGGAAGATGATTTTTAAGATGGAGAAACTGAAAAGACAAAAGAAAACTTTGAATCAGTGTGAACTCAAATGCTATACTTTTTCAATGAAAACAGCTGAAAACATAAATGAACTTTCAAGCACTTCGCGGCACAAAATCCTTGTCTATCAAGTTCAACTTTTCTTGATGCAATAATTACTCGGTTGCTGGAAAAGGAAAGAAATTGTAATTCTATGAGGAATATCCACTTCAAAAAAGTAAACAAATCTACACCGGCAAAGGCAATAGAAGGATCAGTGAAAATTTGTGAGTACCTATCAGCAATACTAATGTAATTGTGCACGAAAATAAACTAAACATATGTTGTAGTTCAGGTTCAATATGACTTTGAACCAGTTCAATTTCTTCTGAACTGGTTCAGTTTATTTTGAGCCAGTCCAATATAACTCAATCCAGTACAAATCAGTTTAGGGTTACGTTTAGGGTTAGGTTTAGGGTTGGGAAATTTTGAAATTTAAAATTATAAAAATTTTCTTCATTAATAAATTACAATTATTATAACTGAGATAAAAACAATTTGCAAACATAACTACCAACAAAATCCTTGATGGTATAATTAGTAGTACTGTGGACTATGAAGCAAGAAAGCAAGAATTCAGTGGTTCAAACCCTGATGAAGGTAAGTGTTATTCATAAACTAAAAATATAGAAAATAACTCAATATTTCTGTGGGGTACAGGGTAAGGTAAAGTAGGAAACAGTAGAAGGTAGAAAATAAGATGATAGATAGAAAATGGGAGAGAATGAGCTGGGATATAGTTCTTTTTGTTCTTTTAAGAATGCCAGAGCAAAAAAAAAAAAAAAAGACCAGCACAAGAAGTCTTGTACTGTACTAGAACAAATTAGATTAAACTGGTTCAAAAATATATTGAACAAACATATATTATATAACTAGGAGCCAAAATCCCCGTCTTTTTAGCAGACAATTACTAAAAATAATGATTATTTTTGTGTCAWTTTACTCAAATCGCGAGATGTTTATTTGAGAAAAGCGGTGCTATCAGATAGAAGGAGGCACCTTGCAACCAGTTGTAAGTAATACTGTATCAGTGAGACTTTTCCTGTATAATTAAAGTAATCCTTCTATATAATCTACRATACATAAAAGCCAGCCTTTTTTTGAAAATAACTTTACATGTAAATACATCTAATGTATTATATATCCATTGCCGGATTAGCTGCAATTAATTTATTTAAAAGATTAAAGTGTTTTCATAAATTCATCATTTAAATGTACATACTGTAACAAATGGAGAGATAGTTGGGTCTTGATACTGTTTCAATAGTGCATCTATGGGAAGCTGAAGTTTGGGTCTGCTCTTTAATCTCTTGTTGATATGAGTCAATATCTCCATAACCTACTTACAGGAAAAAAAAAATTATTTTAGGTTTATAGAATGAAGATTAAACTAGTGATTTATACTCTTTTAACATGTACATTGTATATCAATGATAACATGCTGAGAATTGCACGATTTTGTTAACTTTTTGGACTGTGCTGATGCAGGGATCAACCCCCGAAATTTATATATCTGGAGAAATTGCCTCGATTATGTGTATGATGTCACACCACGTGTTAACGTCACAAATGACGTCATATTGTGTTTCAACCAATGGGATTAGACATTGCATAATCAGTTATACGGAACGAAATACCTACAGACATTGCTTAAAAAATACAGCCTTTTGCAAAAATTATGAGAAATGTCGAAATATCTAAATATCATAATATCGAGTGCATGATGGGTAATCCCGCGCGATTCCCTTAGTCTCTTGTCTTTGATGTTTAGTTTTTTTTGGCGACAGACTTATCCGTAGTTCTGAACATTTTCTCGATGTCAACAATGAATTATTCTAGCAAACCCGCGTGTTCCGGACAATATATGGATATGGATATTATGATATTTAGATATTTAGACAATTCTCATAATTTTTGCAAAAGGCTGTATTTAAATATATATCTAAATATATAATACATTGTTTCCTTCATTCTAATCCCATTATGGTCAGAAAATAAGCAACGCCTGTATGTACATGTATTTCGTTCCATATCGAAAGGTCTAGGAAACGCGACATCGAAGGTTTTCTTTGAAAATAAAAATCTACAACGCTGGTTAGTTATCAATATCATATTCCATGAAAATACCGTGCGTACAATATCCTGGAGATTTAGGGTTAAAATCTTGAGACCTGAAGATTTGATCTGAAACCGGGAGTCTCCCAGCAAATCCGGGAGATTTGACGTCCCTGCTGGTGGCTTCGTAATGCAAGCAAAAATATAAGGTATAAAAGCAGAGTTTATGTCTACTTGGTGGGAAAAGGAAGTAGTGGGATTTCATTCAGTGTCTTTCCACTAAAATCTTAACCTGGAAAAATACATTAACGTGCATCTGCTTACAGGTAAAGACTGGATGAAACTCAGGCTACTAAAATTATAATACTGGTTAAATTTTGAGAGAAGTACAAAGTTTAACTTAACTTAATTAAGAAAAAAAATATAGTAGCTAGCTAGCAGTTCAACTTCCGCAATTCATTTGGCAACAAAAACATAGGTAAGTGGAATAAATAYACGGCCAAAAGATAGCCTTCACCTTTTTCTTGACATCCTCGTGATTACTTGAAACTTTCAAAAGTAATGGAACGAGAAAGGTCCCAACTGTTTTCTCGAGTTGTTCATCAGTTTGAGCGGCGCCGAGTCGAAGAAACAGCCTTTCTAAAAGATCTTAAGAAAATAAACGCGGCTTTAMACAGTAAATTTGTGGAGATGGCAAATTTCTTATTAATTTGAGTAGAAAGAGAGAAATTTGTACTTGACTTTGGTACATTCTACCTGTTTCTTCGCGTATTTTGTCCGCCATCTTGAATGAGTCCAATCTCGTACCTAGAGCCTGCGTTCTCTTTCGGTCAGCGACGAGAAGTTCTCGTCGCTGACCGAAATAGAACGCAGGCTCTGGGTACGAGATATACAAGCATGTCTAGACTACAATGACCGCTGAGCTAAACTCTTATTTGACGGAATGAAACGAAGCAAAAAAACACTTTCGAAACTCTCTTTTGTACAGTTTTAGGTCTTTCTTGACGGGAAATCATAATACTTCTACGCAAAAAATATTGTAAGATGCAAGGTAAACTTAGATTTATGTTAAAAATTAATGGGATTTAATGGGAAATAAGTTTTTTGCAAACTTGCGTGACAACGGATCACCGATATCACCCCAGCCCGCGTGACTGTCATAAGTAAGCTTAAGTACCGTTTTTCAAATGCAAACCAAATCCAAGATAATATTTAAAAATTTTCTTCGTGAACTATCTGTGCCTTTGCAAATCTGTAAAAGAAACTTTTGCAACAGCTATTTAGCTACCTCAGGGACGTCCCTGGCTACCTATACAAGATGAGTGAGTCACACAATGTAGTCTCAAAAACGTCKCCGAATTTGCAAGAATCAACCACTTCGTCAAATGAAGTTTTCACAAATGATAGCGAAAGAAGCGACGACGTCAAGATTAACGGCTATCGCAACATTCTAGGTTCAGATGACTTTGAAGTAGTTTCAACAAGAATGCCAGTCGTACAAGAAACACGCTACAATCACCGTGAGTTCACCAGACGTGAGGTTTTGAAGGCAAAGTTGAAGTACCATTACATGAACCCCTGGCAAAAGTACAAGGYCAAGCGACGAAAGCCTTGGAAGTTATTCATTCAAATATTCAAAATCATAATTGTTACCGTTCAGGTAGGTCTTGAGATAATAATTGSCTGTATACCCGACAGTTTTCCAAGCTATGACGCAGCTGCAGTGCTAAATTTGCTACATGCATACAGTGCTAAATTTGCTACATGTTTGCAATCATTYGATCAAACTCCAATCATTTGCAAAATGCCAAATCGGCTAAGGTGCTTATTACACTATGCAATTTTCCCAGCAACTCTTCTCACAATTTTCGAGTCAGAAAACATCTTGATCATCCACCATTTAATTGATGTCACCAATTGATAATATTTCAGGCAAAAAATATCACAAGTTGCTGAGCAAATTGCASAGTGTAAGAGCGCTATAATACAGGGGTGGATCCAGAATATTTAGAAAGAGGAGGCCGGGTACTTAAAAATGGTTTTGCGTCTCGTTGACCGCCGAAGGCARGAAWATACAGGGGATCCGGGGGCATGCTCCCCCAAATAATTTTGAAATTTAAACTGTCAAAAATGTGATTTCAAGCATTTTCAGTGATATTGACAAGGATCTTGTTAAKTTTTTTTCAAGAAAAAGGGGGGAGGCTGTGGCCTCTGGCCGCTGTAATATTCTTGGCAACATGTGTTAGCTTGTGTTGCAGTTGCAAGGACAAGTTACTTTGAAAATTGCACAGCGAGCAACACCTTTGGCTCTTTACTTGATGTGCRACTAAGAGCTATTGTTCCTTTCCATATTGTAAATTTTCTCAATTTCTGATTGGTCCAGGGTTTTAGTAAAGAGGACTAGAGATGGTCATAAGGATTATTATTATTTTTTTTTTGTAGTTTGTTTGTAATAAAATATAGCAAATGTGGCCAGATACCGCTGTTAGATGGTATTTACTTAACTTTATATAGTTRAAGTCAAGCTTTCGCTGTTCTACAGCATCATCAGGACTTTCCTAATGATGCTGTAGAACAGCTAAAGCTCAAACTTTATCTAAAGTTAAGTATTTAGCATCTAACAACCATATCTGGCCACATTTGGTATATTTATTACACCTCTACTAACATACTGCTCAAGGATAACTTCTCAAGATTAAATATATCGCTCTAAGATGAATTTAAGAACACTTGAATTAGTGAAAAATCCATTATCAACATTGTCACATGATGATTATAAATGCCTAGTTTCAAAGAGAAAAAAATTAAATTGGTAAAGATATGAATTTTTAAGCAGTGTATTTTTGCRAAGAAACGTATTGTAGCTGGCAATCCATGCTGTAAATACTAAAAAAATATGAATTGTAAAAAAAATATCTTTGTCAATTTAAGAGCTATTTTCTTGAAACTGTGCATCTATATCACAGATGATGTGACCATTTCAATTAATACTTAAATTTGATTTTCATTTTATCAAGTATTTCAAAATGACAACTTAGCATGATAAAAGTCTATTCCGTCTACTAACCCCAACCCTTACTGTCTACTGTAGGTTGTTGTTTTTGGTACAGATCGATTCTCRATTGTCTCCTTTCTTGAGGAAAACAGTCAAGCTTTRGAATATTTATTTCTGAACGATTATCCAGCTAACTCTTTGCAACCCAACAAGGTTATCTACACAAGAGATGAAGCCTTGCAATTCTTGCACTATGCACACCAACAGGTTCAATTTTTTTTTCTTAACTTTTAACTATTTATTTACCACGAAGTTGCAAGTGGAGATACAGATTGTTTTGGATCTGAATGTGTTTTGGTCAAGATATCATTTTTGAGTGATTTCCAGCACAAGAAATCTGTATCTCCAAGTGACTGACATCAAGTACTGTTAGCTAGCATTCTGTTTAATTATCAATCATGTACTGGTAGAGTACAAACACTAAAACAGTGCAATATAAATACCACTAAATACTGCTAAATTATTTTAATTCTATTGTTTTCTATTGTTTAATTAACACTATTTTGTAGTAAATAGTGGAAAGTGTTGCACACATTTAATGTTTGTACTCTAATTGTCCACTGATACTTTCAGTTAAGATGGCAAATTTTCAAAGGCAAAGTAGCCTGTGTAGTGGTTCTAGTGGAGAGGAAAACAGATGTGGAGGGGGGGGAGGGAGGGATGAGGGGGAAAAACAGTAATCTTCATGCAACCACCTGTAATRTATCAACTTACCCAGCCAATGAGAGCTTACCAGAAATGGTTCATTACTTGTCAATTTCAGGTTGTGTTTTTGTCGGTATCAGGTTATTTCGCACAAGAGACCGTTCGCACAAGTCGTTTCGCCCGAAGTTTCGGACCGTTCGCACAATTCTCATATCGATGGATAGTCATTTCGCACAGAAAATACAACRCCTCAAAGAAAGATACGAAAGATATATCAATCTACTCTAATAATATATATCACTTTCGATGAAATCTTATGGCTTTTAAATCAATATTTATGGAAAAAATTTCAACGAACTCGAACGCGACACTGTTAAAAACGACGACTCAACAACTTGGTTTTGTACGAGCACTACACTGGATGAGAAAAGAAACACACATGTTTCTCTATTTAGACGATAAATAAACCCAATTCTCTTTAATTCCTTATATTTGATAACTGATTAACGGTTACTATAACTGTTTATAAAACGACATTTGTATGGCTTTTTCAATCACGAACGCGATATTTCTAGAACACTTGATCACTTGAGACAACTTTATTACGTTTTAATCTTAATTGTCACAGCTAGAGTTTGAAATGTTCCAAATAAAGCTTTGGAGAACTTGTTCTTTGCATTTTGGATATTTGTATTTTGGATAATAATCTAGCATAAAGAATCCACAACGCCGAATGTCGGCAAAATCCGGCATCACAGTGACCGATTCATACACGTGGTTCTCGGAGTTCGAAGTCACCTGACTTTCGTCTGAGAGTTAGCACAGGAAGACTTTCAACTTCTACTAAGTATGGAATGACGTATCAGCGATTCTGTTAATACGAAACAGAATTGGTCTCTCAGACCATATTTAACTTTTACCTGTATCTACCACTATCCTTTTTTTTAAAAAAATGGGTATGGTATTATGAGTTACAGCCGCGGCTTTTAAAATTCACCATGGAGACGTAAACAAGCAAGTGANCCTTCAAACCATTGTAACCCTGAGGATTAGTCCCGGAAGCTTGGTAAATAAAACAAAATTGGTTGATGAAACACGAGTACCATGAATTATTACACTATTGTTTGCCCACTTTCTTTTTTTTTGTAGTTCAGGTTCAATATGATTTTGAACCAGTTCAATTTCTTCTGAACTGGTTCACTTTATTTTGAGCCAGTCCAATATAACTCAATCCAGTACAAATCAGTTTAGGCTTAGGGTTAGGTTTAGGGTTAGGGTTAGGGTTAGGGTTAGGGTTAGGTTTTGGTTTTGGGTTAGGTTTAGGGTTAGGTTTAGGGTTGGGAATAGGGTTGAGACAGCATTATATAAAAATCTTCTTCGTAAATAAAAACCTAACCCTAAACCTAGCCCTAAACTGATTTGCGCTGGATTGAGTTATATTGGACTGGCCAAAGGTAACCCAGGCTCAATAAGTTAGTATAAAATATGTCGTTCGCACAATTTTTTTTTTTTTTGCCTAAATTATATTATTTTAACATATTAAATAAAACGTCTCTTACCTTCCTGATTGAAAATCTTTCGTTTTTAAGAGGTTTTACGCCATTTTTGATATGCCATTGTTTAACCTACTTATATTAATACAAGGCAACCAATAGGACGTCAGCCGCTCTCGCATGGAAAACTTGCTCTACTTAATTTAAAGCCTTTTAATAAAACACTACATACGTAAAAAGGTTGTTATACTATTTTTAAGTAGTTTTATGCTAATTCTTTTGTTTTCTCTTGCTCAACTACATGTAGAGCTTCATTCAATTTTACATAATGCAATAATCAGTGCTTCACTGTGTTATTGTTGAAAATACCAAGTAAAATACTACATTACAACTGTACTAGAATTTCTAAACTAGAATGATGTCCTATTAATAATGCTTACTACATACGTAAAAAGGTCGTTGTACTATTTTTAAGCAGTTTTATGCTAATTCTTTTATTCTTGTGTTTTATTATGGCTTTAAATTAAGTAGAGCAAGTTTTCCCTGCGAGAGCGGCTGACGTCCTATTGGTTGCTTTCGATTATACCCTCCCCAGCCTCGTCTCGCAATTGTTGAGTGAACACACTTTATCCGTGCAACTGTACAAAATCTAAGTAGTATTAATTTGTACTAAAAGTGGACCTGAAGCAAGATGATATTGAATGCTTCATTTGAATCAACTCAATTTAATTTGTGTCAACTCAATTTAATTTGTGTGGCGCATGCACGATTTACTAAATACAACTAAAAAGCACTATTTAGTTTGTACAGTTGCACGGATTAAGTGCATTCACTCTACCCAAGATAATTTTATTAATCTTAAGATTATTACAAAGTATATAAAAGGGCAAAAAAAAAACATTACAAAAATAATTTACAATTAATAATTTAATAATTTAGGGAGTAGCACACTAAGCTATTTTTTTAAAAAAAAACAGACAGATGAGGAAAAAAAATTATCTTTTTTTGTTTGCCTACTTAGAAATATAGCTAGATGAAAAAATACCAAAAAAAAACCTTTGGTTTTTAATTACTTGATGRCATTGTAATTGTCACTACTAGCTGGCTTGCAATTGCTCACTAATAGCTGTGCACAAGCTGTTTTGTGATCTCAGAGAAATATATCAAGCTGTACAAGAGCCTCAGTTTTCTTTTTTTCTTTTTCAATCCAGTATATTAAGCATATGAATACATAGTTTGTACTAAATGTGCTAGTGTTTTACTGGAKTTTTGTATATCTGATATAGAACTAATTRATAAAACATATTGCTGTATCAGAGGATATAAAGGTCCAAAATGTGACCCAATACTTCAATTCTCATTGGACTAATAGCTCATGAATTATTAATGAGTTCTAAAGAATAGTATTTACATTATCAGGCTATTGTTTTTTAAATCCTTAAATACCTACATGTATGCATATGCCCATGTACACATATAATTAATGCACGTGTTGAATTTATCCATTTGTCTTTCATTTTAAATTAGGTTGTATTGATCTTCCCAAACCTAAAAATGGAGAGCACATTATATCAAACACATCTTTTCAGTTTGGCAGGTAAAATCCTCTTGTTTCCTTCCTGTTTTTGTTTAGTTTGAAAGGTGTGMCAATGTGTGTGTGTTTAGTTGGTTGGGTTATTTTRTTGATGGGTTGCTACTAAGTCATAATTTGAAATGATTGCAGAAATAACTGATTAAAATTGTCAAACACTCAATTATTGCATTGATCTGTGGTTATAAAAGAACTGAATTGTTTCCTTAGTTTGGTGAGCTTAGAACTTATCCTTACCTTGAATGCTATCAACTTAAAAGGCGTCAGATCTTGGGACAAACCCTCATGTTATGCCCTGGATGTCAAAGTAAGTGATTTTCCCCATCCTATTGCTAAGTAAAAGACAACTTAAAGTTTATCTGTGGTTGATTTTAAAATGTTTTAGTTTAACAAATGGCATGGATTAGTAGAACAAATTATTAAACATTATATTTTTCTACACATCATTATGATATGATTAATTGAAGGGGTGGATGCGATAACGGCTTAAGTGACGATTCAGKGTATTTTTGAAATTTTCGAAAATTTGAAAAAAAATCGCTTCAATCATTTGTTTCTGGTCTAAATAATCATGTTTGCTAGTTATTTCTCGTGATTTCATTAAAAAAAGCGAAAAAAGCCACATTTAGTCACGTACAATACTCTCCCATCCCCCATACTTTAGCTTAGGGTTAGTTTCAGCCTTATGCACTAGGGTTAGGGTTCCTATAACCTAAGACAGGGTCTCTGGTTCCTTGATTTAGGGTTAGGGTTAGAAGGGCTAGGGTTTAGGGTAGGTTAGGGTTAACGTTAGATAAGGGTTAGGCTCTAAAATCTGAGTTTTGAAAGCAAACAACACCCCCCTCCCCTCCCCCCGATTCCAAAGTTTGAAGTTTGGATAAAATCATTTGAGACATTTTGACATTGAAAAGCCAGTCAAGCAACAGTTGAAGTCACAAAAATTAAGCGATAAAAGGGCAGTTGTGACGCTAATTCTCGCCTACAGTAAAAAAAAAGCACTATTTCATTGTCTTTGTTTGCTACAAAATTCTAGATTTCAAAAAGTGAATAACTGTTTGTACCAAAATTCAGTCCTACGTCTGTCATTTAAGCGTTTTATTTTTCAAATTTTCCATAAACATCTCAAGCTACGGCTTTCTCTTTGGACACTGATTCAGAACACGTGTTTTAACCGAATTCTTGCGCGCAATGAATTCTGGGAGTTGTTTACATGCTGCGACAGCGGACACTCCATCTCCTCCAAAATAGAAATTTTTATAAAGTCTACAGCCTTCTCGGGATTCTGCCAAAATTTCAAGTCGCTTGTGTTCCTCAATAGCTGGATTCTTTCAGCAAGTAAGCTCCTTCGCTACCTACAAACTTAATGATGTTTGTAGAGTAGTGACTAAAGGCAAAAAGGCTGAAAAAAACGCGGAACAACGCATTTCTCGACTTCTTGCAGCACAGCTTCGAACCAAAACAAACCGACAAACCAACTGTCAAAGTCAGGAGTTTAGCGCGAATATGCAAATCTAGGATATTTTACGGTCTAGCGATCAGTTGTCAAGCCAAAGAAGTCAGTAACTATGGGTCTTTTTTTGCTCTTTTTAGAAAGAAATCAGGGCAAATAAGTACTAAATAGGATTATCTAATAAGCGATTGAAGTGATTTTTTTTTCAATTTTTCGAAAATTTCAAAAATACCCTGAATCGTCACCTAAGCCGTTATCGCATCCGCCCCTTCAAATTATTTGTTCATAATCTGTTTCATGCTTTTAGATACTGTTTGACAACTCTAAGCTTGATGGTCAAATGCCCCTTTCATTGACGAGTCAACATCGGTGGTTGAAGTGCAAAAAGAGAGCTGAAATTAACTCACCTGAGAAAGATTGTAGGATATTAAGTCTTTAAGTTCAAGATATGGAATATTTTGATAGTATATGTGTCTTTGTAAATTATAAAGTAGTTCTAAGACTTCTTTTTCAACATNTGTAATATGGCATGGTGTGATATGATATGGCATGGTGTGATGTGATATAGCATGGTGTGATGTGGTATGGTGTGATGTGATATGACATGGTCTGATGTGATATGGCATGGTGTGATATGATATGGCATGGTGTGATGTGATATGGCATGGTGTGATGTGATATGGCATGGTGTGATGTGATATGGCATGGTGTGATATGATATGGCATGGTGTGGTGTGGTGTGATATGATATGGCATGGTGTTATGTAATATGGCATGGTGTGATATGATATGGCATGGTGTGATATGATATGGCATAGTGTGATGTGATATGGCATGGTGTGGTGTGATATGGCATGGTGCGATGTGATGTGGCATAGCATGGTTGTTCTATTTTACTTATTACACTTTATTTGATCTTTTTTGTGTTTACTGTAGTGGGTCGTTTGATTCTTGTTGGATTGTTGGTCTTTGATGCAATTGTCATCTTCATATGTCTTCTGTCTCTCATCTTATGTTTGCGATCATTGGCAAAATCATTTCATCTTGCAAAGGTACAGTTACCCGACAACTGTTGTATGACAATTTTAATTAGGTATTTCCATTGATTGATRTGACTTCCCTGAATGAGGTGTGCTTATTGAAAGACCAGAATTATATTTCTGTTAACAACAAAGCAAGGGCAGGTATTGACCTGTCTATTGAGACCGCTTGTTGGCCAGTTTTTCTTCCTACAAGTGAGATACACAGGAAGACCGATTTATTTTTTTGACATGTAGCCGGTGTAGTCTATGTGTTGTTTATAGAACTAGAATGCGTGTTTTATCGGGATATAAAATAGGCTACCCAACTATTGCTTGAGWGAAAGAAAAGAACGAATACGCACGATTTTATATTATGTTCTCGAATCACATCGCGCTGYGGGTTTCCTGTGGTATTACGTCATTGATCCCTTGCCTCGCGGGTATGTTTTCGAAACGGCGCGCGCTGCGGGTTACTTTACGTCACGATCCCTCGCCTCGCGGGATACAAACTGGTCTGTGACACAGACTTGTTTGTATGCCGCGAGGCACGGGACGTGACGTAATACCACAGGTAATCCGCATTTCACTAAGAGCGCGCGCCGATACTAGTACTAGCGATACCAGCGTAAAAGCGTGCGCATTTCATTCTTTTCTTTCTCTCAAGCAATAGTTGGGTAGCCTATGGATATAAAGGCCCAGCATATGACCCAATAGTTCGATGCTCATTGAACTAATAGCTCATGAATTATTAATGAGTTATAGTCTGAAGTTTCGTTTTATAAAAGACCGATTTATTTATTTTGACCTATAGCCAGTGTAGTCATGTAGCCSTACAAGTCCCAAATTATTTTTTTCATACTGACTTATTCATTTTGATTTCGGCATTTATTATAAGGATGTGGAAGCGGAACCACAAATAATTTTGCTAACTTGTAGCCKTAGCCTTCGTTAATTGTGACCCATTTCTGTTGCGGGGTATTCGACATAATTTGGTTCAAATGAGATGATTATTAGTAAAGTTGTGGAATATTATAATTACTGATACCGAYCGTAACCCAYTGTTTTCCCTCTGCATTAAATCAATGAATGCAGTCAGAAACAGGTTAGTTAACTGCAATATTAAAATATTGCTGTCTGCTTCAAAACAGACAGCAATATTTTTAATATAGCCTCCTGCACACAGGAGTATTAAAAATAACGTCCAGAACCCATTTAGAATTTATCTGTTTTCATATCGACTCTTATGATAAACGTTAGCTCAGTAATTATCTATTAAGGATTTGGTACGTGGGAGATTAAGACTCAGAATTTTCCTTTCTTCTAAAGATTAATATTTTCAAATTGTGCATTTCCTTCTGTAGGTAATAAGTATTGAATTATTTGATTTCCAGGAAGCCAGGACATATTTCAAAGACTTTACGAATGATCCTCTAACCCTGTCAGAGGCAGCGGAGCTGTTTAACCTRTGGTTTATTGTCATCATCATATCTGATTTTCTTGCTATATTGGGTTCTATTTATAAAATTGCAATAGAGCAGAAGGTATTTGTCATTAATGTTTGCTATTTTTATCATCTGATCCTGGCCACTCTTATTAATAAAAATTCATTCTAGTTCCGGTAATAGTAATGTTATTTGTGTATAGTCGTTATATCAAATTCTAATATAGACGTAATAGTACGAGCACTCTGATTGGTCCAAGATTATTTCTCCGGTAAATTTACGCTCGCGATCATAACTAGGCTCAGTCTCCAGCCGTCGGGATTTCGTGCGCCCGCGATACTCTCTCCCTTGACGGCTGGGCGCATGGGGTTCGCTATTGTCAGTCTCGACCAATCAGCGAGTGGCCCCCGATATTTTCAGGGGCATATCATTAATAAWTTWGCAGGCAGCCGTCGTCGYAGTGTAACAAAATTCCGGACAATTCGTCGTTTGAGATTCTCGTTTGAACGCTCTGAAGTCGTTTAGCTTGGACGAATTTAGAGAAATACAGCAAAAGGCTCTTAAAGAGATTGTTCTTGGAAAAGATGTCCTTGTTATTCTTCCTACTGGCTCGGGCAAATCTCTTATTTTTCAAACAGCGCCACTAGTGTATTTTGCTCGTCTTTCTGGCAGATAATAYATCCATTTGGATTATTAAACCCTACACATGTTTTACTTGGGGTAATTTCCATTCCTTTCTCTTTTTTAAAGCGCTARCTATTACATTATATCGCYACTTCGCGAAGTTTTCATTTMACATAATTTCCCGTCTTGTAGCAAAACCTTTTCAAAATACGGCTGTTGTCAGATATTTCACTTCCGTTCACTGAAAAGTTCACTTCCGTTATTCATAATATGCTAATTACACAAAAACGTCACGGACATGCGCGACACGTTTCGAACCCCATGCGCCCAGCCGTCAGGGGAGAGAGTATCGCGGGCGCACGAAATCCCGACGGCTGGAGACTGAGCCTAGATCGTAACTAGTCTCCTCGCAGCCGTTCTTAGTGGCGGGACGGGAGCCCGCCACTAAGAGCGGCTGCAAGTAGACTAGATCATAACTAACAATGAAAGCAATAAAGGCTGGATTGCTTACATATAAAAAAAGGAAGCACAGATTTAAAAGAAAACATAAAAAAAAGAAAAGAAAACAAATTTAGAAACAGGGATGTATTCGATAAAGGAATAAAACMAAAATTATGAATACAGTGAATAATTGCAATGCAAACTGCGGGCACGTTTCTGGCCTTGTTTTAGGTTTGACAAATGACAGATTGAAGTATCTGTTACAGTTATATGAAAAGAAGGGATTGGCTTGGAGCATCACAGGCAACCCAAGCTAAGCATTTGACTATCAGATTTAGCGATATTTATAATGTATGTAGATATGAAATTTGTAAAAGAAAAAATAAGAAACAGTTTTCTTACCTTGTGAAGGGGTTTTGGTTGTGAATTAAAGATAATTTGCCGTTTTTTCTGGATATTTCCCCCTCTATAAATATATCACTGAGATATCCCTAAATCAGCTAGATGCTTAGCTTAGGTCGCCTGTGGGAGTATCAAATCGATCCTCTTAAAACATTTCCACGAACATAATTTGTATATCCTTTAGTTGGTGTGATATCGAAAGATTTTACCGACTAAATAAATGTAGATGTAGATGTAACCACTTGTTGTATACAACAAATTAGGATCGAGAATACTTCGATATATGTAGCCTACTGCTTGGAATTGCTGTATTACTGGTTTGGTGTGGTCTGCTGAGGTTTCTGCAGTATTCTCCCAAATACAATGTAAGTTGACCATGAATGAACGGTAAAGTCCTTTATTATAATGCTGTTATCATTGTCATTATCATCGCCATTGACATTACTATCAACAATACTATTATCTGTATCATCATGAGAGAGATTACTTTTCTGTTTTTCTTGTCAGGCWTTGTTGCTGACTGTTAAAGCATCAGGACCCAGTGTTCTGCGTTTTATGGCTTGCAGCGGGATTTTGTTCATGGGATTTACTCTTTGTGGCTGGCTTGTACTGGGACCTCATCATTCAAAGGTATTTTTAACTATTCCTAAATTCAGTGAATTCTTCCTTCATTTAGTATTTATTGCCTCCCTGCTTGATTGGTTATTTGCTTCCTTACCTTGTTCTTTCCCATCATCGTTTCATCATTCATTCCTCACTTCAATTCTTTCTTTTTTTCCACTATCCTTCCATATCACTCTTTTTCTCTTGCGACCTTGTCTCCTTTTCTTTATTTCTTCTCTCTATCCTTGTTCCCTTTACTCACCCATCTCCTTGTTCTAACCACCATTTGTTCTTTATCAACTGTTTATTCATTCATTCATCTTTTTTTCCTCGTTTATTTATTTGCTCGTTCCACCTTTACACTTTGTGGATATGTCCTGTCTCGATCTTCTCTCTCACTTCATCTTTTGTAATGTTCTATTTTGAAGGGCTTTTTTAATTAAATGTTTATTTTAATAGTCAAATTTATTTGTATTGTGTTTCAGTTTCGTGACACCACTATTACGGCTGAGTGCCTRTATTCACTTATCAATGGTGATGATATGTTTAATACTTATGCGCTGCTTACCGAGAAGAGTGGTTATGCAATCTGGGTCTACAGTAAAGCTTATTTGTATATCTTCATATCCCTCTTTATCTACGTGGTACTTAGTTTGTTTATCGGTATCATAGCAGATACATACGAGCGACTAAAGGTAGTAGTGATAACTTAAATGGTCGCAAAATTCAAAATATGTTCTCTTTTTTGTTTACAGTACATTTTGAACTAACTTCCTACAATCGTTKCCAAAATTAAAAATTAAACAAGACTTACCTGTAAGTTGAAGTTTGATGATAATTCTACCAAATCCGTACTGAGGGTTAACATGACATTACACACGTGGCGCCGTTRCTTGTCAGATTTTTAAAGAAAAGACCGGTTGTGGACACAATTAAAAGATGACAACCAGATAGTATGACACGTCCTACGAGCAGGGTTGATTCACATGGGGAGGGGTTACATATATATGGGTTGGGCATGTTAACCCTCAGTACCACTGCGGATTTGGYAGAATTATCATCAAACTTCAACTTACAGGTAAGTCCTGTTTAATTTTTAATTCTGCCAAATCGCAGTGACGTACTTCCGGTTAACATGAGAATTTAAAGCAGTTGTGGACATTAACAATAACTTATTGCAACACTGCTGTAGCAAAGGATGCTTCATTGTCTGTAATAGGTTTGTTATAGAATTTGGCAAAAGTAGAATTGGAGGACCATCCAACARGTACAGATTTACTGGCTTTACTTGCAGCCGCACTTCTTGTGCTGTGAGCAGTGAATATTTTCGTATTAATTCCACAATCCTCCAGCACCGTCTTAATCCAACGACCAACTGTGCTCACTCCAACTGGCTTATGAGGCTTGACAAACGAGACAAGTAGTTGTGTTCCTTTTCTCAGATTTCTTGTACGTTCTAAATATATTTCYAACAGTATGTAAACACAAAGTTCTTTGTTTGTGAATTTCCGTKCATAGAATGATGACATAGTGTTCCCTGGTCTGTTCTGTTTAATATGATCAATTAAAGCGAATAGGAAATAATGTTCTGTCGTTTTCTTCATGTGTTCCGTGTCCAACATGGTTAACGATTGGCATCGCAGACGTCAAAGCTAATAGCATTACAAGTTTTAGTGACAGTTCCTTCAGTGAGAGTCCTTCGACAGGCGATAACTTTTCGAGGTAACGCAAGACAATATCCACATCCCATTTCTCTGTGTATTTGGGTGATGTTCTCCTGGAGTTAAATACCCACTTCATGAATCTGGTGATAAGTGGATGTGTTCTTATGGTATGTTGTGATGGTAGTAGCGGACTCTCCATCAAGTAGTTTGTTAGAGCTGCTCTGGCAGTATTGATAGARGAATAGGAAAGGTTCTCAGGATACAAGTTGTGTAGGAACTCAAGTACATCACTCACAGCCGGTTGTATGGGATTAATTTCCCGTGAAATACAAAAGTTGGACCACTTTCTGAGATGTACATTGTACTGTCTCTGCTGGCTGGCCGCCAGGATTCCATGATGATATCTGCAATTTACGATGAAATGAATCCGTCAACCAAGGTTTTCCGGATATCTTGCATGCCAGTAGGTGTAGGCGTGGACTTAGTGGGTRTACTTGCCCATAGGTAGGGTGGTGAAGTGTGTTTCTGAACACTGGAAACGTAACTGGAGCTTCGACAAGTAGACAAGTAGACGAGTAAACCACATTTGAGTCATCCAAAGGAGAACAATGATTATTGCTGATGCCTGATCCAACAACACCTAAGWAATATATAAGCATTTTCAAAAATCCCCCAGTCTACAGTAAATGCATCACTATTGGTAGCATGTGGATCAGGCTTCCATGCTGAATAAACCTCAATTTGGTGGTTGATCCGGCTTGCAAATAAATCCTTTATAAGTCTAAATTGTCTAATTACCTTATTTATGAGAAGTATYCGCAAGATRTTGACAGCAAGGGCTTCACCAAGTGTACTGACAAGTAACGGCGGCACGTGTGTWATCTCATGTTAACCGGAAGTACGTCACTGCGATTTGGTAGAATACCTTGGACCGTAGAATTATTTGCTCCAGCCTAACATTTTTCTCCTTTATTTTTTCACAGTTTTYCCCCTTAGCCCCCTTTCATCAATGTTGGKTCTTGTTTTGGATGCTTGTGTACTATGGTAACATGCWCAATAGGGGGTCAGGGGGRTGAAATTGTCTGCGGGTGTTGCTTAAAATGAGGAAATTCGCTGAAATTGTCCAAGGATTTTGTCAACGATTGTAGGTTTTTGACAATATAATCGTCCGTGTCTTAAAACATGTTCTCGTGCTTTCTTTTGTGTTTGGTAAGGTCGTTTCACCGTTCCAGGTTTCTTCAGTGGTCTGATGCAAAACAGAACTGGCTAGATTATGAATATAAATGTTATTGATGGTGTTTTTAACAGACGGTTAACCGGTCTAGCAATCGAATTCATGCCAATTGACGCACTCAAATTGCTCTTTTTTGCCTTCTTTCGTGTAGCGTTTATTATTAACTTGTGCAGTAATCGTATAGGATTCGGGTTTCAAGCGTTTTTCCCCTTGACAGGATATGCAGGGATATCTACCGTCAACACGACTTAGCCGTTTTGTCGAGGAATCGAAAGACAGCCATGAACATCGTACTAGATGTGTCACTGCACCTGCAACGTAAGTAAATAAAAGAGAAGTGGATGCTAATTGACAGACTAATTATAAGTTGTCCTGTTTTATCATAATTATTCATACAAGAGCACCTCCCTCACCCTCCACACAGTGTTGCTGTGAAATCTGACCATTACGGACCCCAACTTTGTTCCGGGGATGGGGAGGTGTAACCAAAACTGTGTTAACACATTGTATGAAAGATTGTAGGTTTATTGATCGATTCAGACTTCTAGCCCCAACAGAATTGATTGATATCGATCAACTGACGGTTCTTRCTCTTTTAATTGTTTAGATGTCGCAGAACGGAGTCCAATACAACATCTGATACAGCAATACGTCATTTATCCATGGACTCCACTGGTGCTGAGTAATCCCAGTCCCTAGTCCCCGCCCCCCCTCCCCAACCCAATGAATTTACAGATAAATATTAATCGAAAAAATTAATGTATAAAAACTTAAAATTGAAAAATTTATATAAAAATATATGATCAGTCTATGCAGCACTGTGAAATTTATTGAAGAACCAGCGTCGTTTCCCCTTTTTCTGACCCTCCAAAAGAATGGTCGGCTCAAATAACATCAAAGAAAAAATTATTTTTCCGAATGTATTTTCAAGGCTTTTTCACCCGGAATAGCCTTGTTATATATAGATTTCTTCATGGAAAGTGCTGACGTACCAAATTGAGAAAATCCCGTACAAAAGCACTTTCCATGATGAAGTTTGTTTATTATATACATACTGAGATTTATAGCGACTTTTGTGCATTTTCAACCTCGTTCCCAGGGCCATCTCGCCCGACTCCTTTTCAAGATGGCGGACGTCGGGGAGATGACCCTGGCGTTGGCTGGAAATCACGTGATCAAAGCCTCCAAGAATTTTGGAGGTTTTGATCACGTGCCTTATCTATTCAAAATGGCGCTCGGAACGTAAACTCAACGGTTTCACAAATTGGGATAGCTGTGGTGGGTCGGTATTTGCTAGTTTTGATAATTTATTTGAAAATCTCCCCTGTCCTGCCGTCATCGCCAGTGTTTAATACCCCCTAGACCGCATACTTGAGTAGATCCAGTTCGTTCTAGGATTCTTGAGGGATTCGCACACTGGACCGATTTTAAAGAAGAACAGTGGCTGCAGAAATCGTCGAGTAGAAGACTTCTAAAACATCGAATGCTATCGCTAAATATATCCGTCAAATTAATTTCTTACACAAGTCGCTGGCATCTCAAAACCACGCATTGGACAAGAGAGACATAAGAGGACAACTGA